AAATATCACAGACGGCTCATTAAATAATAAAATATTAAAACTAAAAACAAAATCTAAAACCCTTTCTTTCCTATGACTAGATATCAATTTACTAGTTTAATAAAATGTAAGGACGTAAGTGGAAACATGTATAGAGTAGTGTGCAATAACCTCGGATTGCCCATGAAAGCCCGAAGGCTTATTTCCAATGGGGTCCTTGGATATATACTTACTATAATATACAATATAAAACACAAAAACATTGATATCTCGCGCATGCGCATTCTGCGTAGAAAAAAATAGATGTACTGAAAGAATCAGCTTTATGAAGTAAAAAAACTATTGAACCATTGTGTTCTACATTTAAATCAAAGGATACATTTTCAGAGTAGCAAGCGATGCAAAAAGTGAAAAGTAATAAATTATAGAGAGACCACAAACTCCTATTTTGACATTTGTTTTAAAAAATATACAAAACATAAATAAATGTATGACATTATATATATTTATTATTGCACAAAATAAACAAATATTATCAATTATGCATCATTAAAAGTAGATCAAAATTAGATTTAAAATTGTTTGGTCCCAAATAAAACATTAAGTCACACTAAAAATTCTCATTTAATGAAGTAACATATATAGATGATATTCAAAGAGTGTGGATTAAGTACTAAATTTATTGAACGAGTTGAATACAATCATATTGTGCATGCCCAGGGCTGGGAATCAAAACTGCGTCGTATCCTATATTTTATAATCTTGGAACGAAAAACGTATGTTTTTGTTTATAACTCTTTTTGTTGGAAATGACTGAAAACCAGATATATGTATTAACACGCTACACTATTTCCGCTTCGTTCGGTATATGTTGCTTGCACAACTTTTTTGTAAAACAAAAGTTATAGCGAACTTGCAACTCGAAGCGGGGCAGAATTTTTATGAAAATGTGTGGATACGACGCAGTTCATATTGCTTTATTTATCGTTTTTTCCTTCAAATCAATTATATATTTGTTTCAGAGTTCACCATAAACTTCGAAATATAATTTTGCATCATTTACTAAAATTTCATTTAAAAGAGATGTGTATTTTCTAAGAAAATAATGATTTTTACGAAATGATACGACGCAGTTGAAAAGAAAATATGATACGATGCAGTTGTATTTTTGGCAGTTTTTTCATAATAATTTTGGCAATATATTTCTATTTTATGGAATAGTCACTTGCGCTAGCAAAAAAAAAACCCAGACCATTTGCGGTTTATGGCAATGTTCTGTTGCTTTTGATTATTTAGAATACATTGTGTCATGTCCAATATAACATTTAATTTGAAAGTTAACATTGCGGAAGCTACTTTTCAGTTAGACATGAACATGTTACCTAATTGATCATAATATCTGAAATAATTTCTTATATTTTCCTGTATGTTCAATATTATCCCTACTTTTTCGCAAAAAAATTGTAGAAATGTATTAACTTGAATTCACTTTGGCTAGCTACGCTCTAAGTTAACTCTGGTTCTGTGTGTTCTTGGTAATGACTGCTTTTTTGTGGTTTGTTTTCAAACTTTCACTCTACACATTAGCTTTACTTCGGACGAGGACCTTGGGTGCGCCTTTGCATTATATCAGGCAAAATGTTGCACCTGTAGAGAACCATCGTCATTTTGAAACTAGCTTGATAGGTTTTCCACACGAAAGAATAAAAAGTCCCTGGTGGTTTTCGAGTTCATAGCAGTTCAGTTCAAGTGATTTGAATTCAGTAAACATTAACAGCTCGGCCTCGGTCGGACACACCTGTCTGAATTGTTTTTTAAACAAAATTTGTTAACGTCAGCTGTACAAATAAGCAGCTTTTTTATTAACTTCTGGCGTAAAGTTTTAAGATTATAAATATTTAAATTAATTATAGACCCTTTCTTTTAAGACCGTATTCAAGTTGTCGCCCTTGGATGACGTCATTGGGGGATACGGTGGACAATGCCGATACGATAAAGTACAATAATAGAGGGATATAAAGATCTTAATCGTTTCTCTTGTAAGATTGGCAGATTGAAATTGCCAACAGTGTTTGTAATTGAATAAGATATTACATAAAAAAGGATGGTGAAATGAATAAAAATGTTTACTATAATAAGGTTAACGATTTGTATTAATAGTAGAACATATTGCTGGTTAACTGATCATGATTACCATTTTCGTAAGATTCTTACTAATGAAATATTTACCAGGCAGTTAAATCGTACTCACTTGCTTATACCTGGGATATAGATAGTGTATCTATGTCTCTGCTAACATACAATACCCAAAAGATATTTTGTGTTTCAAAAATGTAAGGATTCTGTAGTTTCGAAAAACGGCTGCGTAATGAGTAATTGCAAGATACTGGTTTATTAAAAATCATTTTTATTTACCAAGACAAAGAAAAACAACAATATAAATCTATGAAATGTCAAACAAACAAAAAATGTCAAGGCATAAAAAGTAAAAAAAAAATGACTGAATATTATTTGTGGCGGCGAAAACAGCACTCTCAAAAAATCGTACATCACACCAATATATTTAAGCTGGTAAAGTGATATTTCCAACTTTTTTTACTTTTTAATTTACACTTAAATATTAAATACTAAAAAAAATAACAGAAAAAAAACAAGTTGTGAAACACGTTCCCAGAAATTCGTTATTATTTTACGTATTTTTGACTGTGCCAGTTGGTAGGACTCTACGTAAGCTGGAACATACGTACATCCCAGACGTAAGGCATTACCAATTAAGTCCCTAGGATGACCCATAACAAAATTTGGACCATAAATATTTTGACAACTAACAAAAGTGACGTAATCTGATGTAATGTTATAACTCTAAAAAATGTACCCTGGTGATTTATGATATCACAGCCAAGTGCCGCATGTATATACAACACGTGCGCCCTGTTAATTTATATGTTACCGCCCAGTGGCGCTTATATAAACACATCTATTTATCTATGAAATAAGTTACTGGGAAAAGGTCTTTATTTTTATAACCATAAGAATAGATTTTTAATACAAAAATTATCTTATTATCGTCTGTTGCAAATCTAAAATTATAAAAGTCAATGCCACACGGGTTTCGTTCTTTCCGGAATATTTATAATTTTATATCCCTCACTGGTTCTTGAAATATTTTTTATACGGCATAATGAAAAAGAATCAGTAAGTATTGACAGAATGCAGTCTTTTTTTTTTTTTTTTTATTAAAGCTTGAAAAACAGTCGTTAAAAGTCATTGGCAATCTTATTTTCATGTTTGTCACAAATACGCCGGAATATTTTAAATGACAGAAAATAAAACAGAAAACTGGAAAATGACCATTTAAATTCATAATAGGCAATTTCAGTGTGTATGTGTGTTTATAGAATATTAATTTTGATTAAGTAAATAGCTTTTTATTCCTGGCATTAGATAAAATCTAGATCTAATAAATATTTTACTTTGAAATTTCACTGTTTCACTCCGTAGCGAGAATTAATAATCTAAATCTTTGTTTTCGAATTTTTTTTATTGTCTTGCTATTGAATTTATGTATGCATGCGTAAATTTTTACATGTTAAAATCATAATTGAACGATCAGTATTAACGCATTTAACTTTTCAATAAGGTAGCACTCCACAGTTAATTTCAAGTTCCTGCCGTCAATGTCCTACAAGCAATACGTCTAATAATTCTGATACCAAACTACACAACCTGGAAAAAGAAAACACATTTTGTTGAGAACATATATGATATAAGATTGCAAATCTACAAAGAAATAATCCCATCTGCAATAGGCAGGCAGTCAAAAAATTTGCAATTCATTCCGTTGAAGCCCAAAATCTACAGTGGCCCGAGACCCAAAACAACACATTTCGACCCTCTGGCAAAAAATATCTGCAAATATACAGGCTAAAGGAACACCGTCTCTGCTTTAGCAACTCCCTATACATGCAAAATATCACAAAGAAACTAGTCCTTAACCTTGTAGATTTTTTGCTACTGCTAAAAGTTTGTACCCCCCTGTAAAATGACTTCTTTTTACCGTGCATGCTGTATAAAAGCAATGTTTACAAAAAATGGCGGCCTTGACATTCATAATCAACAGCATGTGATTTCTGGCCATGTTTTCGAATTTGCCAGTGATCATATTAGATGTCACAAAAACAAATTTTATGCTGAAAATGCATTTTAAAGACAACGAGTCATTTAAATCCAGAATATTCACTATATCCAAGAAATCCTCCCTGGCCATTCGAAGCTGTGGCTTACATTACTGTGGTGTGCTACCTAAGCTAACATTCTATGCAGCCTGCATAGTTTTATCCCCCATTTACGTCACATCCGGTAAGGGAAGTAACTCTTCCCTGACTGTTATCGCTTAAATGAAAGGGTCTATAAAGAGAATAACATTTAAATTTCTTATTTCGGGGCCTCCGTGGCAGAGTGGTTAAGGTCGCTGACTTGAGATCACTGGTCCCTCACCACTGTAGGTTCGATCCTCACTCTGGTCGAAATCTTTCATGTGAGGAAGCCATCCAGCTGGCTTACGGAAGGTCGGTGGTTCTACCCAGGTGCCTGCTCGTGCCTGAAATAATGTCCAGAGGGGCACCTGGGGTCTTCCTCCACCAATAAAAGCTGGAAAAAAATCGACGAAAAAATCTCGGCGGGACGCTCTAGGATGGCCCGACTTGAGTGTACGGTCGCCCATATGGGCTTTCCGGCGGCGACCTTAAATAAACGCATTTAAAAAAAAATCTTATTTCGGTATGACTAGCAGAGAAATGTTCAATGTAAACAGGGGGTAATCCTCTTTGAAGTCATTTTCTGAAAACTTTTGTTTAAGTTCTCAGGCAATTCATTATCAAATAAAAATCACACTTTAGTATGAAGGTATGTTGAGATGTCATGTCTCTAGTCTGTTGAAAATTCGATGCGATAATCTGACCTTTTTTTCTGTTCAATATTGTGAAAACTTCTTCAATACTGTTGATAGATCATGTCTGCCTATATCTGTATCAAATTTATCGGTGCACAGCGTAAGATACCTTTGCAAAACGGAAACCTTCTTTACAAAATAATTTGTAGTTGTATCATATGTAACTCGATTTTGAAAATTTAAAAGTTTTTTACTGGAGAAGAATGATACTTAAGTGCAAATATAGAAAATACATTCCGTAGACCTTTCCTCATCGGCGATAACTAAAGGCAATACGACAAATTCAGCGGTAAAGTTCCGCAGCGCTGAACATTAAATGACTAAACGGAACGCTTAACCTACTTGCAAAAATATATTGTAGCTTAACCATTTATAATATAATTTTTAAAACATAATTTTCAGTTTCAAATATTAAAGCTCATCTGTTCTCGCCGATTATTAAGAAAATGAATACAATAAAATCGGCACGTAAAAGACATAAGTAATAACGGAATTGACGGAAGTTATTGCTAATTACAAGTAACAAAGGTAGGCATGCAATTTGCGCATAGCTCTCTTCCGATAGCAAGAGACCTTTTCAAAATTTGTAATTCTTTCTCTTTTTTTTTAAAAAAAAGGTCATTCCTGATTAATACAGGGTCCAGGAGAGGTTACACTGGAATATTGAATTTTGCATCACAAATAGTAATCACTCCCATTTCGAACTCACGGGAACAATTTTAGTATCATGCTAAGGCAACACTGGAACACGTTGTCATATGGGTGTGCGATCACGTGTTTCAATGTATATTGCATTTGATACAGCTTTTCGGAATTTGCTTATGATAGGTACTAAAATGCGACCGAAAAATGCAGCCTTAATAGAATTGTATTGTAATTTACATTTCCATTTTTATGGAACCAATGAGTGACCTCTGCTTTTGACTTAAGTTGTAAACAAGAAATGTTGTTGGACGTTATTAGCATACCTAGCAAATAATTTAAATAGTATAACCAATATGCAGCCTGCAATGAAAATACAACTGCGTCGTATCATATTTTATTTTCAAATTTCCAAATTTTAAGCGTCACATAAGTAAAGACTTAAACTTGTAAGATACATTGTAATCAATTTTAACAAGAGTCTGAATGTATTCTGGTACACAACTCATAATTTAATCGCTGTCTAGACGAAGATAATATTTTGTCACCTTTTTGCTTATAAAGATGTTGTTTATTTTAACTCCATTCTGAAGGCATGAGATAAGTAGTGCTCACACATACGATCCAGGCGTTGACGTCCATGTCATTTAAGGGACAAAAAATCTGAACATGAGAGATCTAAACAAGTTTAGAACAGGTTCGATAGACTCCTCACAGTGATAACCTCCTTTGGCAGAATTGTAATCATTGCCTTCACAGACGCCACATGATGATGAAAGTCACATAACGTAACGTAAAAATTCAAATGTAAATATTGACCGTTACATAGAAAATCTGACGTCATTTTTCTCTTTGTGTTTTATTTTTTAATTTGCGTACCTACGTTCGTTATAGTTTATCAAAAAATTATCAAAAGTGTACAAAATAATGAAAAATAAATTCAAAAGCTAAAAAATATTTATATTTTCGAGTATATTCTAAGTCACTTATAAAATAGTAAAACTGTTAAGAAGAATTGTAGCTGAAGCTCGTTCTTCTACACAGATCTCTTCTAAACTTATCCTTAAGCAATGAGTGAGGTAATCTAAACATTAGAGTCAGTGTACCCGGTTCCGCACAGGACCCTGTCCCGCACACTTTCCCATTTTTCATTTTTTCTTGAAAATTCAAATGAATTTATTCAGTTTTCATTTGTGTTTCACTGAACTGGCATGTTTTCAACAGGATCTGACATAATATGGGATCTTGCCCCCCCCCCCCCCCTCTCCCTGGAGAGTGCAGACGAACATGTAAATAATGTACGTGGATGTGTAGGTCACACATAAAAACATCTTATTCAGCAATTAAACCATGCTAATTTCTATTTTAATGTTAAGATTATAATAAAAAGAAACATATGTTTTTGTTATGGCAAATTTGCTGTTAGTTATGAAATATGCACATGAATTAACTCCTCCAAACTACCAAACGTCAAGTCATTTCACCTTGATTCTTTTGTTTAAAATAAAACATAACTCTTAATCGAACAAATCATAACTTAATAGATGAAAAAACTTTCAATTATATTTTTTTTGTTTCTGCTTGCTACCTACATGTTGTAAAAAAGTATGTTTCCATTGCTGTTACATGTTTCCTGTGTGCTACTCTTCTTGGAAATAAATGTTTGTATACTGTAGTAAGAATGTGCATTAAATTTATTTGAAGTCCTGAAAATTTCAAAAAAAATATACCTTATCTGGACTTAGAGATATTAAATAATTTATAAAACATGTTTAAGATGTAAAATAACCTTTCAGTATAAAAATGGCCTTGTGTGCGGAACCGAGTCCACTATTTATTATATTTGGCCCATTCCTGTTGCTTAAAATCAAGTGCGCCTAGAAGTATGACCTACTTAAGATAGAAACGTATTGGTCATCAGTTTTTATGGGCAAAGGATGTAATTTTCAAAATAATATCAATTATAAGAAGAATTTTTAACTATAAGATAATTTTCTTATTTTTCCTAAAAAAAGTGTACGACACCGGGTACACTGACTCTAATATTTATTCCGATTTATAAGAGTTATTTGGTCGATTTTGAAATGTTAACATAGTAATCATTCTTTCGAATTTTTTTTCAAATAATTCGTTGAATTGTTAACCATAGTTCTTTTTCCTTTTCTTGTTCTTGTAGGCGACATAGTGTCATTATTACATTCTCGGTCTTTGTTTTGTAATGTTCATTCTGATAAAAGATTGATAAGAACGCACGTTTATAACGCAGATTTCGTGGATTTCATTTGACTGTCATGACGTTTCAAGCTTTGACTGATTTGCTGTAAATTTATGATTTTTTATGTTAAAATGAAAGTAATTCAGCAGCTTTATTTATTTGCCCAAAAATTGATTGTGTTATATATAAAAATATCAATGCTATTTATGCTAAGTTATTATTCTTATGTTTTAACACAAAATTATAATTTTTTGTATAACAATGAGTTATTGTTCATTGTTATAATTTCTTTACATTTTATTTGTTTTACTTTTTTCCTTTTTTTAAAGGAAAATTTGCATTTCAGATCTCGAATAACGGATCCTACCTCATCGAATTTTTAAATAAGAAGTTCAATGAAGTTTTTAATGGAAGTACCTTACACATGTTTCCCATGAGATGGCGAGGTATAAATACAACCCAGATCTTAATCGAATATTATTAACAAAACTAAGAAAACAAGAGGTAGCAAGGCGGACTGGTCAATCATTTGAAATTTTTCGACATTAAGAAAACTTTAATAATTTGAGCAAACTCGTTACAATCATTGGCGAGGAGCATGGGTGCAAGTTGAAGAGGCGATCCTTCGGTTGTGGAACCTTATCTTCTTTGAGTGATAGATAATCGGCTGACAGAGAAGCAAATGACTGAAAATTTTAAAACAACTTTACCATGATTCAAGATGACAGCCTACAAGTTGATAGATCATGTGTACTTTAAGCCGAATAAAAAAGTCCATGATGGAAATTCTCTGGAAAAAAGGTTACCAAAGGAAACAAACGTTTAATAAAAATAACATTCATGTGCATGATATCATTCAAGTGGTAGTTTAAATTATGAAGAAATATATTTTCATTGACACAATTACGTTACGGGAAGATATGATTTCTGTTTATCTTGTTTATTTTTAGCCGTTTATATGTTGCTGTAGTTTTCAATGCCTCATTGACTTGAACTTGTTTATATATTCGAATGCTTTTTAAAGGTCCAAAGACCTTCAGAACGTATTGTGACATGAGGTTGTCGGTCTTTCTGTGTGTAGCTACAACTCGTTCCGTAATCATGGTGAAACAAGAGCCATCTTGGCCATCCCCCACCGAATGTGTTTGCTCATTGGAAGAATGTATATGTAGTAGAGCAGAATAATTCAATTTTAAGAGGTCTTTTGGTAATGAAAACTGACCTATGTGAATACTGATGGCTGAAATAAACAAAGGGCAATAACTGAAAAATAATGCAGGGTAGGTTATCATTCTTGTGTGCTTGCACTCCTCCTCAATGAGATCTATCCACCTAAGAAGTTTCAAGTTGATACCTCTAATACTTTTTGAGATAAGCTCCGGACAAAAAGTATGAAAAAAACAAACGGCAATAACTCAAAAATTATGAAGGATAGAGTTATTACTCTTGTGTACTGCACACTTCCTGAGTGAGATATATCCACCTATGAAGTTTCATGTTGA